TGCATGTCGAAGTGTCCTTGAGAGCAAGATACTGAACCCCAAATTGTTCCCGATGCTGTGCGTTGTTGTGTATCTGTGTATGAATTCAGTTCTGGTGAGCAGTTGGCACCTTGCATGGCAGCCACTGCCATCAGTGTATGAATGTGTGTGTGTGAATGGGGTAATTATCCCACCCTAGAAGTTTGGTCGTCTGTGTGGACGCTTCTAGACATGAACTGCTGCTGAGTTACGTCATGATGATGGAGATATTTTGACAAATTTGAAAGGGGGAAGGGTATAAAATCTTGGACACTGACAAATACAGCTATAATCACCTGACCCTCCTCCTCTGGTTATGCTGACTGCAGAGAGCTCCGCAGTTTCAGTGAGCTGGAAGTCACAGTCTTGAGACAATGTCCATCAGTGTGGGGACAGACAAAATGCTCATACAGGTTGATCTGATGTTCCCCCTTCTGACAGCAGGGTTCCTCTTTGCAGAGATGAGGTATGTGTATGTTCACAGATACAGACTGCAGGCCTTGGAGCCCAAACATTAGTGGACGGTGTGTTTGTGTGTGTGCGAATGACGAGTGCACCCAGACATTCACCGTGCTGCGCATCAGCTGCGTGATGGTGATCCAGCAATAAAGAAAAAATGAGACAACATGAGAGATGAATGCAAACATCAGTCCAGTTCTGAGAGGGAGAGTGCTGGAGAGAGAGAGGGGGGTTTTACTCAGAGAAGGGTGGGAACATGCCGAGATCAGCGAAGTCCTCGATGTTGTAGTTGGCCGTTCCCTGGGTGGGATCTCCAGCCATGGGTAACATGTCCTGCAGAGACAATATCAGACATATTACATATCTGTGTACACTGGTCGGCAGCCAGCAGCTGGAAGACACTCTCACACACTGCAGGAGTGTGTCTCAGTGTGTGTGTGTTACCTGGAAGACTTCTGTCTGGCTGGGGTTGGGGTGTGTGTGCTGTTCTCCGGCCTGCTGGGAGTGATGCTGGTTCTGCCACTGGGACCAGACCTCACTGGGACGACCCTGGAACTGGGCTCCACTCTGACTGCTTTCCCCCGACACATCTGGAAACACACACAGGGTTACACTCGTAACGTGAGACCAGATTTTCAAAAACAGACACCCACTTAGTGTCTTCAGTGAAAGCAGTGCAGACTGATTACATATGATTTTATATTTGAAATGACTTTTTATTTTGCTTTATTATGTATTCAGTACAGGCAACTTATTCACACTTCATTCTTAAACATACAGTATGTCATTTCTGCTACTACGAGGTCTCTCACGTCAAAACAATAACAAAAGACAAAGATTAATGACATGAAGTAGTGTGGGATCATGGGAGTATATAGAGTTAAAAAGCACCAAGATCTAAACAGTGGATGGTAAAAATGTGGCTTCAAACTGGATAAAAAGTCAATGTATGACAGCTTCTGGCAGACAACC